TAAGTAGCAGTATTTCTACATCTATGTTCAGTAAGACTTTGCCAGTGATTCAGCTCATGGCTTCCCAAGGCAATGTAAGCAGATGTGTCTTCTCTGGGTAAGGAGGGAGCTACAGACTCTTTACATTGCCTTGAAATGGAGGGTGAGCACCCAGGGAACGTGGCGTAACAAAAGAGAAAATGAAACCTCCAAGTGAAATGTCAGTATCTCTCTGTAGTTGTATTTACAGACTAGAAAATTAATGTCATGGTGATGTTGTATTATGAGGTTTTATGCTTTTATGCAAATCTTAAACTATTCTGGAACTCCAAAAATCATGGATATGGCAGACATAACGTGCTCTGAAAGTCGCAGAGCACTGGGGAAAGTTCCTAGAGATTTCCATAAACTTGAGATGACTTCAATTTCCCTCAGTTTCTCCACTTCAAAAAGAAAACAAAACCAACCAACCAACCAACCAAAGGCCAGTACATCTAAAAACTTACAAGTACCTCAGAGTCAGCACAGGAATAGAACCATCAACTTTTTCATTTCTTTTGTTTTTAGATACGACATGGGATTGGGCAGAGAAGAGAGGAAGGAATGGAATGATAATTCTGTAATAAGAATCTTGGATATAAGTTTGGATAATTTTGGAGTAATTTTTATTTCAAACTAACAGCTGACTTGCAACAAGCTCAAGTAGCTGTAAGCATATAAGAAAGCAAATTCACTAGGAAAACCCCACTGCCCCAAAAAAGATGTCTGAATGTCACAGGATACAAGTAAAATCTTAACACAAGCTCATCCTTTCTGGGTGTGGGTTGAAGATTTACTAGAGACAAGTCAGTCAAAACCCCACAGCAAAAAAAAATACTCACCCCATGTTTTTAGCAATCTCAGAAGATTTCTTCACTTATGAGAGTTAAGGCCAAATTTGCACTTTGTGTCTAAATCTACTACTACTAAACTACTTTCTAAATCCTCATTTACATTAATCTCAAAACCACCCAAGGGGGAACCCTCCTAACGTAACAGGAACAAAAATGAGAACACAGTGATGAGCCCAGACTTCAGGACGGCAGTTCTGGGAACTCATGCACATCTCATTTTTTACTGCTCCAAGCTGAAGTTGGTTTCTGGCAAAATTATTACCTAGTACGCCAACATGAGACCGTGCTACCAAAAGGACAGATCCTGCCTGACACCGAGTACCTCAAACCACTGTCCTCCCCCCTCAGCTGCTGTGCAAATGAAGAGGCAAAGCCTTTACCCCTTCCCATGGCTGGCCTCAGCCGCTTCCTCTTTAAAAAAAGATTCTGAAAAGTCTACTTTGAAAATAAACCTTTCGAAAAGCCAGCTGATTTTCTTATTTTATTGCAAGAAGTCTGCAAAGGCACTACTGGGTACCACATTATCCCATAAAGATGTCAGCTTTTTACTGATTGCAGCGCTAACGAGAAGGAACAAACAATAGAGCGCTTCCTTATATGTACACCAGCTCGGCACTGGTGACAGAGACCATTTCCCCAAATGGTCAAAAAATTGAGGCAGCTCCACTGTGGTTTTTGAAAGAGACTGCTTTAAAGTACATGTCCCAGTGCAATCCAAATGAAGCTAACTACAGCTTACAGCGATACCTACAAGGCTTCCCAGTATGAGCATCAGCATGTCGCACCGTTTACGGAGTTTATAAGCATATTTTCACAGGATAGCTTTCCGCAACACAGTAAGCTTCCTGCCCTGACTTTGCTAAACTGAATTGACACAGCCTTTTGCCAAACTGCACTCTGTGTCAACACATCAACATCTCTGCAGATGTTGGCTGCTGGTAATGCAGAGGCTGAGGGCAGACACGGGAAGGGAGCTCAGGGGCCCGAATCCACTCTCCTTTGATTCCCACACAAAGACTGTGACCATCGCACGGCCTGAACACAGCCTTTTGCTCCATGTTCCTACCACCAAAAAAGGAGATGGGAAGAAACAAAACTAAACACCCTGCTCTCTCCAAGATCAACTACCAGACTGGCCAGCTGCAAAGATGATCAAGCCCACACTGGCCACTGAAGTGGCACAGAAGGCACATGCCCCCTGCATATCAAACCCGAGCCGGCTCTGTGGAAGCAGTTTGGACCTAGGTGCAAAATATCCATACTGCACATGCAGCCCTGCCTCTAAGCGCAGACCTGATGCCCTTTGCAAAACAGTCCTGAAGAAATAAGGAGGAAAGTAACTCTTAATTTGCTTCTCTGTCACTATTCTGGTTACTTCATCCTAGCAAACTGTAATACCAAGAGTTATCCCTTAGGCAGGGCCACATTAAGCGCTGGTAGCTTGCAGCTCTGTCACAGAAGTTCCTGCTGCAGTTGCCGAAGGCTACAACAACTGAAAGACTGAGAGATGCAAGCATTTCAGAGCCTCATACAGCTTAGCATTAGGTGCATTAGGGAATTGCAGCTATATATTCTTTTGATTGCATGTGTCACTGTGATCACTGCAGAATTTTAATTCCACTACTCTATAATGCATGATGTGAAAAATAGCTCTAGTGTCTGGTTGTATCTGCAGGTACAAGCTAAAGTAGCCAAAGTGTCAATCTCAAGCTGAAGAAAATAAGGACAACCGATCCCACTGCTTGAAGAGCACCTTGTTCCGCCAAAGCGAATAGCACTGGCTCTGAACACAGCCAAACTGTCTGCTTTCCTGGCCAGACAGATTTCTGGGAGGTTCTGGGAGTAGGAGTGCAGCAGCCAAGCCAAAAGGGGCAAGAGAAATCAGAACCGCCGCAATAGCAGGAGGAGGTGAAAGTCGTCCTATTGCTTCATTTGAAGCAGAGCAGCTCCTGCATCTCCCTGGAGCGAGTCGGCGAGAGCTGCCCCCAGAGCAGCCCTTGGTTAAACAATATCCCATTTTGCACTTGGGAGTTATGTAAGAGCGGTCCCAGTCACACGGGCAGCGGGGAGCAAAGAAAGGGCATTATTCACAGCCTGACATGGATGAACCCAGTTTAACACATGCACTTGGAAAACACTGTTCTCTCTGTTCAGTAATATTATTTCACATTCCACTCGTTTTGATAACCTTTTCCTTCTCCATCTTACCCCGCTAACTGACTGCAAAGTCGACTAAAGCCTTCTCCTGAGATTAGCCACCACACATAACTGCAACAGATTTTTTTTCCAAGATACCACTGAGCCTCATTTTGCAATAAATAATTTACAAATACATACACTAAAAAGCTAGAGAAATTTAGAAGTGAAGCCTCTCTGCTTCACTTTACAGGGGAAGAGAACCAGGGTAGGGATTGCTTCCCAGAATTTACCTAACGCTATCAGATTGATATACCACCAGTATGCAGCCTTTCACTCTGACCAGAAAAGGCCAGCCTTAGAAAGAGATGTAGAAGTAAGGAGTTTCAACCCTCTATTTCAAACAGTAAGTCATGTCTATGTATCCTTTTGACATGGCCTCAGCTTTGAAAAAAAATCTAGAGCAAGTCCTAATTTTATCTATGAAAAAAATGTATTCTAAAATCACTTTATACAGATAAAGCAGAGATGATCCTCCTCTGCCAGAAAAACCCACATGTGGCGTTACATCTTTAACAATCCTGTGCGTGCGTTCATCTGTAAAGTGCCCTGGCAAATCCAGAAGGCAACAAAGGATCAAGTCTACATGGTGAATTTAAAACTAACAGCAAAGCAAATTACAAGAACAGAGATATTTTTTCCTTTGATATGCAGTAGCGCTTTGGGGAAATTTTCTGAGCTTCTTTTTCATTTATTGTCCTCATCTCTAATAGCATCCTTGATGCTATCTGCTACACAACCTCCATGATGCTCAGCATAATATAAACACCTTAAAGATGTAAAGAAAAGTTTATATTTGATAGCTTCCCAGGACTGAATTGTTTGAGAACAGAATGAAGCAGACCTCTTGTGGAGCAAAAGCTACATTTTACAAGGGCTATCTTGGACTAGAACAGATTCTTTACCTATAATTCCATTTACTTTCCTGTCCCTGCAACAAAATGTTTGGTCTATTTTAAGCTCCCCCCCCCCCCCCCCCCCCCCCTTTGTTTTTTTAAAGAAACAAACAAACAAACCTTTTCAAATGTTCTGGCTATTTTCTATCTATATGAATCAAACTCAGGGAAGACAAAACTGCCCTTACACACTGTAACATGGTGTTTCTGCTCTACAGTACTGCGTCTTCTGAGCAGATGTGTAACACCAAAAGGAGAAGCAATTTAAACACGCTTTCTCCCTCTCCATTGCTTCCTTAAGTTACAGGCACATCACTGGATTTGGACATTTTTGTGCATCCTTCTGCACATCCAACTTTGAATCAAACTAAAGAGAGAAAATAGTTCAAGACGGATAATCTGAAACAGAAATGTACGTTTAAAATCAAGCATACGTTCAAAAGCTCCACTGAATGGGGATCAATGTACAAAAGCCACGAAAGACACTGCAACCAGACAGCAACTGAGAAATAAAAGCAAAAGCTATGTGCCATCTGTGACAAGCATGGATTCCAGGATTCTGCATAACATGAAAAGCTGTCCTGCTGTAAGCCTAGGACCACGAAAACAACCCTGCTAATGCTTCATAGCAACCAATGACATCAGGACATTTTCGAAGTGTTGCTCAAAAGGCAGAAGTTTAGTTCTACCCAGATCACAGAGCGAGCAACAATGTGTGGCCACTGCAAGCACCCCGCCGGGAGCCCTCACAAGCTTGACATCGACAATCTGGGGTGTTAGTTAAAAATGATTTTGCATAGGCTCATTTAGGGTCCTATCAGCTACGTTAAACTCAGATACCACCTTGCTGAAGAAAACTGACTGCATCTGTTTAGAATTTTTTTGCAAATCTAGGTCTCTACAGAGATCCCCCTATTTTTAATTAACTTACGGGCTGACTTAAGACATTAAGCCTCAGAGGGCTTATCCTACCAGTGAGACTGAGGAACTAAATCTATCACACCCATGTTTATAGTCTCTCCACCCTCTGGCTTACCTTTTCAACATCTGCTTTTGTAACATTGATGTCAGCATCCATTTTTTCAAAATACTGTTGTGCTCGATCAGCTTCCTTGCAATCACGTTCAAATCGCCTTTTACTCTGAAAAGGAAAAATAGAAGCTTTCATTATCGGAAAGAAACATGATATCAAAATCTACCTAAAATCAATACCTGCCGCTAAACTCATCTGCTGTAACAAAGATTTTAGGGCTCACTTGTTTGCATTGGAATATATTTCCATATTAAAGCACATCAAAAAACAAAGTTACCAGAAAGACATTTTTTGTTCCGTTCTTCAGGCTGCTTGATTGTATCAACATCATTAGTATTTCAGTATTTTTCCCTGTTAGCATCTCTTCTGCTCTTGTAGATCAAATCACTCAAACACTTAACTCCCTCATTTTTACAGTGCACAACAAGGGAGTTACTAAGATTCACACATTTGCAAGTAGGACTTTTGATTACTGATGTCCCCTTTCTTTATCCTCTCCTCTACTCACAGTCTCATCTCTCATTCATCACATGAATGAGAATTCCAATGTATTTACTTTTGAGAAACAGCACGTTACTCAAGAGATGGTCCCATTTAATTTATTCACGCAGTATGAAGCTATTCAATTTACAGTGGAATATCTGAATAGGACCCTTAGGGACTCTCCATTTCCAGGAACGCTTAGCACACTTTTCCAGTCATATAAAATTAAATGCTACTCATGATAGACACACATCCCAAAGAAAGCCAAATGCACTATTAAAACAGACTTTTTTGTGTCTACCAGTGTATTTAATACAGCAGAGTTTTTTAAAAAAATCCCATTACTACAGCTTTTATTCATACATTTCCTTTGTCTAAATATAATGTTTGGAACCATCTCTACGAAAACAGTATAAAAATGACTTAAATGTCACATCTGAGGAGGTTTCCACTTACTGCTTCAAGTTGTTTCCAGCAAGTTTCAATATGTTGTTGTGCCTTTCTGCCATCATGGAAGTGCTGTTTAGAAAAACCAAAGGGAAAAAGAAAACATTTTGAACAACAAAAGAACAAACAGTCAATTATGCTCAAGAAGTTCCAGAAAAAAACCCAGAAATTATTCTGACAGCTGTGTTCTGCAATGCTGGTAAATTGAGCAGGTGTATGACGACTGTCTAATGTCTCAGCAGGCTGCAGATGTATATTTGCATCAATTATAGTGGTTGGTTAGACTAAGGCTAATTAATCCCTTTAGCAATTCTACCTTGTATTGTTCACTGTATCTCATAATTATTGGTTTCCCATACCACGAAATCTGAAGCACTTTTATCTGAGGAGTGTTTCTTTGGTTACTGACTGAACACTAGCTCTAAATTAAAATTTCTCTCTACGTGGAATTTATCAAGATGCCCTTGATTGGCACTTACTAACAACTGATGTTTGGTCCTGATTTCCATTCAGACGCAACGTAAAACCCTCTTCTTCCTAGTAACTGGCTGCATGTACAAGGCCAGCTGTTTCTCTCGAGAGGTATTCCATTCTGTGGGTCCCCGCAGAAACCCTCCTCTCCCTCGCAGTGGGGATGTGCAAGCGTGCACACGCTAAGGTGTTACAGGAGTTCCACATACGAGGTGTCAGCTGCATACTAAATGACAAGGAACTTCTGGCATGCCTTTTGGAGCAAGACTCTTCACTGCACTTGGTTTAAATAATCATTCTTAGCCTTTACACAATGCTCTTCATCAGAGAATCTAATATGCTTTAGATATTGCCCCCTCCATCTTCCACATGCCTCACTTTCCCTCATGATAAGCCATTTGTTCAAAGACCATCGCCTAAGTCAACGACCCAGCTCTAAACAGGAATGCTGACGCAGTCCCGGCTGACCACTAGAAGAGGTTACTCCCCTTACAAACCACCCTGTAGAATAAATCATACAGCAAACTACAAACAGGAAGAGAGATGCCTTTCTGCTGTATTATTTACTGGCAATTAGGATGTTTTACTCAAATACAGGTATTGTTTCCTGCAGTGAACTTCACAGAATCACAGAATGGTAGGGATTGGAAAGGACCTCTGGGAATCATCTAGTCCAACCCCCCTGACAAAGCAGGTTCACCTGTCCAGGTGGGTTTTGAATATCTCCAGAGAAGGAGACTCCACAACCTCCCTGGGCAGCCTGGGCCAGGGCTCCGTCACCCTCAGAGGGAAGAAGTTCTTCCTCGTGTTCAGCTGGAGCTTCCTGTGCTTCAGTTTGTGCCCGTTGCCCCTTGTCCTGTCGCTGGGCACCACTGGAAGGAGTCTGGCCCCGTCCTCCTGACACCCACCCTGCAGATATTTAGAGGCATTTCTAAGGTCCCCTCTCAGCCTTCTCTTCTCCAGGCTGAACAAGCCCAGCTCCCTCAGCCTTTCCTTGTAGGAGAGATGCTCCAGTCCCCTCATCATCCTCGTAGCCCTCCATTGGACTCTACTGCCAGATAATTCCACTGCAATCCACGCCTGCGCAGAATCAGACATTAGCTGTATCTTAAGCAACATGGTGTCAGCAGCCTGTTAGTGTAGAAAAGCTCCAGCTTCAGAAGAGCAGCCTGCCACAAGCTGCCAAAGTAAAAAAAAAGTGCCTGCAAGCACTTTACATTTGGCAGCTACTTGGTTTCCTGCATCTTCCACCACAGCAACTGGTAGTTTCCTCCATCAGAGGGGCAAGATCTGGATCAAATGTCCTAGGACCATCTCCTAGCTGCCCTTCTGGCTCCAACAGACATGCCAGTAAAAAGCCCCAACCCCAAAACTGCAATTCTCCATCACGCCACGTCTAATACACTTCTATTGCCTTAAAAATCATGACAACCTTCAACTTGTCTGCAAGAACAGCAGAACACCACGCCATCCTGGGCACTCTGGATATTATGACCTGTCGTCCCAAACACCGGCTGTTAAGCAGAGATGCTCACCCTCAGCTGAGCACAGGGGCCCTCTCTAGCTCGAACTTTCTGCACACTGTTTATCTCTGCACAAAAATTCTCAAAGCAGGGAAGCGAGGCACAACGTCAGTGACGCTTGTAACGCTGGGCATGTGCCGTGCTCAGCCCCGGCTCTGCTCCTGCCCGCCGAGGAGAGCCAGCGCGCCGCAGCCGTACTTGTGCAGTTCAGACCCCTGCCCACCGCGCTGGGCTTCTCCAAAAACTCAGTCACCACATTACGACATTAAAAAACCCCAGATGTAACTGTAAGACTGCTGGGGCGGTGGGGAAAGGCTCCAAGTCGCTTTTGGTTCCTTTTGCAGATCCCCATTTCTGTTCAGCCCTGCGTGTGACAGATACAGCATCTTCCTCGGCAGCGGGCTTCGAAACGCTCCTTGTTTCAGGCTTGCTTTTGTAATTACAGTTTAGGAAAACAGTCCCAGGGAGCAACAAAAACAGTCCCAAGAACTGTAATTTAACACTACATTTTTCAACATTTTGCTAACAAGCATGGAATTCGTAAAAATCTTTGATCAGTGAAGCTGCAAGCGGAATTACTTGGCTGCCTTCGCGCTGCACTGCCGGCCCCCCCAGCCTCTGCCTGCCTGCTCCCCGATCCACCGGCTCCAGCTTTGCTGCGGGTGGGAAGGGACTCGATCCCGGAACGACTGGCCTGCGTGGAACCCGATGCTGCCATGACCCTCGAGTCTTAGGAAAACAACACGCTGGGTTAACTTCAGAGAACACAACTGTACGTAGGGGCTGGAGGATGAACTTGGAATCAGAAGCGTATCAGATAACAGGACTACCCTGAGCTCATATTTTTAAACCGCTTTGTAGTTAATCAATAACGTAATTTTAATTTTGCACAAGCCATCCCTGTTATTTCCAAATTTGCCTTCTCTGTAAAATAAACTCTACAAGCTGCTGTGAGTACATACCGGAGAAGCAGTAAGCCTGAGCAGTATGGCTGTGTCTTCAGATTTTGCTACATTATGCTCTTTTTTCTTTGAGAAGCTCTTTTACAGAAAAGCAGCACTGAGATGTAAAATGGGCACTACTGAGGTTTATTAAATAGTGAAACCGAGGAACCGATGCCAAGTGACAGTCTGATAAATACAGGTGCATTCCATTTTGGAGATTTCAGTGCAGTATCACCTTTCTTAGTTCAACAATTTTATAAATACATTTACAACCCCCAATTCTTGTTGTGTTATCCCACATATATCCTTGGTATGACAGATAAAGCTACATGTGATAACAGATGTAATATGCATGGAGAGCACTTCTGCTTTTGCAAATATTTTGCCCTCAAAGGACGACTTCCACCTTCCAAAAACTAATTTTTATATAAAGCAAATAAGTGGCACCTTCCAACTATCTGTATTTCTTCACTGTCTCCATTTTATGGGTAAGAAAATCGAGACAGTATGGTTAAGCGATCTGCTGAAAGTCATACAGGAAGCCTCCAGTTTCCTCAACCCCTGTACTATCTGCAACTTCCGCAAACTCATTTCCTCTACTTTAAAATCCTCTTAAGCAGCGAGTGTCTTTCAGCTTCCCCCTCCCCCCCAAAATATTCAGTACAAATAACTTTAAGATCAACTCTTCCTTGATAAGGTTTTAAGATACAAGCTCTAACTTTAAGAAATTTTTTCATATCAAATAATTGGTTATTCTACACCTGATGAATCGGCAAATTGGAACATGACAAATGATTTAGCAAATCATATGGAAAACTACCATTCTTAATTAGTCACACACATTTCAGCAGCATACAGTGACGGATTTAGAATAGTTGATACAACACAGAATATTACTTTTTTCCCCCCAAACTAAACGCCCAAACTAATGCACCCTAATCAGGCTTTCTATTTAAAAAACTGAGACTATGAGCAAGAGACCAAATTAATGACTCATGCTTCAAGCATGCCAGTAAGACACTTGCAGCAGCGGTGTTGGTTGTCCACGCACCATGATTTCCTCCAGACTTTTTGGCCACATCCACAGCATTCGAAGCATACATTAAAAACACAGTAAAGCGAAAGCTTTGGTTTTATTAGTGTTTATTATTCCATCTACCTGAATCACCTTTTAATCTATACTTTGGAGTCTTAAGCTAGCAACCACCATGCCAACTTTAAGATTTCCCTGAAAAATATTTTATCCAAGCATTAGACCTACCAAATAGCTTAAAACAGAGCAGCATTGTCCAAACTCAAACCATAGTGGCTATGACCACAACTGCCCTTTTTTCCTGTGTGTTCAAGCACAATGCAGTTTGGATGCCGTAGGGTGCTCTGAACAACCTGTAACTGCCATGTTTTTACTGGACATCTCCATCCATTCTACACTCACAGGGTAAGAATCAATTATCTAGGTTTTAGGTGAACTCATGAGAGTTAAGACTTGACAGATTTTCAGCACAGTATTAAGTTGCTCGTACCAAGACTGTGGATTTGATCAACTTTTTAAAAAACCATTCATTATGTGCTAAAAACTCCCAGCTCAAGGAATACTCAGCTACAGTAACCTCAGAAGAGTTTTAGGAAGAGCAGGAAGTCCACGTAAAGACACACTGCATGTGAGGCTTTTTCCTTTTTAAATCGAGCCATACCCAGTGTGCTCTCCGCATTACCACACTGACTGTGTTTGTAACAGCTGGGGAGAAAGCCTGGCTGCTGCGCAATCAGAGACAAAACCCTCATTGACTTTTGTTAGGCTCAGATTTCCCCCATGTTGATCAAATCACCGGGAGCAGCGAGCAAGCTACCTACAATACAGCGCCTGTTGCTGCCAGCACTATTACAATAAGTAGCGGTGGGATATTTTTGCAAAACTTTCTTGGTATGCAAGAGGGTTTACACAGCCACACAGCTCAGAGCAGACACCAAAAGCTTGTTAGAAGATGTCTCTTCTCTTCTTTCTGAGCTTTCGAGAGGCGTAGTAGAAAAGCAAGAGGCAGTTAAAAGCATCTTATGAAGGATAATACAGTCCTACAATTTTGCTGAGGAATTCCTGGGCAATTTCAAATTAAATAATTGCCTGAAACATGTA